GAGCAGCCGAGCCCGGCGGCGCGCTCCCGGGACCCGCGGCGGCGGCGGCGGCGCCCCCTAGCAGCCGCTCCCCCAGCCCGGACGCCGGCTATGGCTACGGCGCGGGGGCCGGCCGCCCGGAAGGCAAGAGCGGCGCCGAGGACTCCCGCATCCGGCGCCCCATGAACGCCTTCATGGTGTGGGCCAAGGACGAGAGGAAGCGGCTGGCCCAGCAGAACCCGGACCTGCACAACGCGGTGCTGAGCAAGATGCTGGGTAAGGGGCCGAAGCGGCGGGGGGGGGGCGAGGGGGTCCCGCGCGCCGCCGCCTCCCCTGCCCCGCGCGCACTGGCTCACGTCGGGGCGCGGGGCGCGCGAGGACGCGCGTCGGTGGCGGACCGCGGGCGCGCGATCTGTGGGACGCCCCGCCGCAAGGGGCGGCCAGCGCGCCCGGGAGAGGTGGCCCCTGCGCGCCCGCATGTATTGCGGACAAACGCATGAATGGTTTCCGGCCGGTTGGGAAAACTGGGTTGCCACACGTGGTGGTGATGGCCATCGTAACACGAAAACCAGGGTGTTAGTCCATGAGGCTGGTCAGTGGGAGAGTGGAGACCGCGCGAAGAAGCCTCCTTCGAAGCTGGAGCGCTGCTTTCACACCCTCTGAGACCAAACTCTGGTGCTGAATGCGGATGGGTCGTAGTCAAAAGCCGGGCGCTGGGAGAGAGAGAGGGAGGGAGCTCTTTCCACGCTCGGGGAAATTACAAGTTTGCAAAAGTTCAGAAGGAAAGAAAGAAAGGAGGGAAGAAGGGAAAGCAGCAACAAAACCCGAATTAATTGGAGGGGAAGAAGGATGGGAAGGGTCTGGATCCCGGCACAGGACGGTGCCGTCCTGCAACATTTTGCTGCAGGTCCGGCTTGGGATAAGAGCAAGGCCTCCAAGCTCAGAAGCAGGCTGCCTTTAGGCACCACGTGTTGTGGACAGCAAGAGGGGAGGGGGCTGCTGCCTCTTGCCCTACTTGTGACCCCCACGGGGGCTTCAGGGTGGCCGTGGCCGATCTCAGATCGTAGGCCCGGTGGACTTTCCGTCTGATTCCGACCAACAGCTCAGTTCTTGCCAGGGTGAAAGGGAAGCGGGGATGAAGCCCGCAAGCCCTTTATCATGGTGCAGCGTGGATCAGCCCCTTGCTGCCCTGGTCGCCGCCTCCGTGGCAGTTCCATGCGTGGCTCCTTAGAAGTAAGCCATGCTGCATTCGGGCGGTACAGAACAGCAGCCTCAGCCTGACTCAGCTCAGGGTCCACACTCAGAGGTGGTTCAGCTCTTGCATTTTCTTGCACATGCCTGCATCTGTTTTCCTTGAGGGTGGGAAGGATGCCAGAGAAGGGCACACTCATATCAAATGTGCATTCTAGCCAGATGTGGGGGCTTTAGTTGCATTGCAGGGAAATGCATGGTGCCATGTACAAAGATGCTTTGTAGAAATTTGGGCTGAGGGCACCGATGGGCACAGACAGATTTGTGGAGTGCCGGATTTGTAGGGTCACAAATCTGCTAATGTCTGTTGGCCGATCAGTCCAGATTACGCTCCTCTCCCACCCTTCAGGTTGAGGCACTTGATATCTAAACTAACTCAGAAGGAGTGCAAGAAAGTGTTTGGGTTATCTGGAATGTGATAGCCCCCTCAGATTTCGTGCAGATTGTTCGAGAAGAGGCAACATAGTGTAGTGGTTAGAGCACTGGACTGGGGCTTGGGAGAGTTGGGTTCTAATCCTTCAGCTCGCTGGGTGATTGTGGGCCAGGCACTGAACCTCACCTACCTCACAGGGTTGTTGTGGGAATAAAATGGAGGAGAGGCAGATCATATGAGCGGCTTTGGATTCCTTGGGGGCGGGGGAAGCTGGGATAAAAATGTAATAATAAAATACAATACCAATAGAACTGGAGTGTGTAGTATTTGGGCTTACAGGTTTTTCTTGCTCTTTGCTAGAAGCCCATGACCAACTCAGTGAAATGAAACACAAAAATTTAGAACAACCAAACGCTTAAAACTGAGGGAGCGCCTGCGAGCGCATCCTCCTCTGAGGAATGTTTTTGCAGTGCTGGAACCGTTCCCCTCGTCCTTTCATCCACAGACCTTCTCCTGGTGTCGCCGCAGGTGTGCAGGCCTGCGTCCTCACTGGTGCAGGGGAATCTTTCTCATATCTTGACGTTGCTGAAGAGCCCTGGGGATGGAAAGCTGTGCCAGCGGGTCTGTAGGCAGCCGAAAAATTTGGGAGGGAATGCCCAAAATTTGGAGGAAATAGGTCATCTGGCCTGAGGATATTTAAAGACCAAACTGCAAACTTTTTAAACTTATTATTTTACTTTTTAAAAACTTATTCTTATTGCACTCCACATATATCCCACCATTTCTCTTCCTGTGAGAAGCCCAAGGCAGCGTGTAGAGTCTTTCTCTCCATTTTCTCACAACAACCCTGTGAGGGTGACTAGGCTGTAATGCATATTGCATGGCTGAGCAGGGACTAGAAACTGAGGGGATCGCCTGAGCCCAGCCTAGCAGTCTGATGACCACTCCACACTGTCTCTCAGTTTAGGGGGCAGAGAAATTTTAGGGTGGGCCAGTCCCCCATTCCCGGCTACAAGTTCAATTCCCAGTCCAGAGCAAATCACCCAGAGCTCTCCCACTCGGTGGGCTCTACCATCTAGAATAATTACTCCCCCGATACAGAATAATTACTCCCCCGATACAAAGTAATTACTCCCCGCACCAGAGTCCGTAGAATAAAATTCCGACTTGACGCAAAAGTGCTCAATTGCAGACCTTCCCTAACCCACCCACATTTTTTGGTCTTAATTTCGCTTCTTCAGGGTAACTAATGTGCACTAAATCATCACTAGTGATAACACTAATAATCAACTATTGTTATGCTAATAACACAAATTACCACTATTATTAGAAACACTAGTGATAACATTAGTGATAAATCTAATTATTAACATGTCCTGCTATGGCCTCATAAAGACCAACCCTGTTAATCACACGTTATATTGTACTTTATTATGTTTATTAACTGTGGCTCACTGCCTAGAGAGCTTCAGCTATTGGGTGGTATAGGAATAAAATAAATAAAATAAAATACACTGATTGTGGCATAGATACAGGGAATACAGGCTTCCACCGACAGGTCCGTCTGGGTATCTTCAAGCACACGTGCACACTCACAGGTCGGGGCCAAAGGGGGCTGTGAGCCAGGCAGTCCTGCACACCCCCAAGTGCAAAGGGCCATCGCAGAACAAGGCTTGTCACGTTTCTCTTGAGCCCAAAGATCGGCCCACGAAGGAGCGTGGCTCGTGGCCTTCTTTCTGCCCGCTCGACCAAGAGGCAGGATGTGCAGAGACACGGCGCAGAGCAGCAAAAATCTTGGCAGTCCCCCCCCCCCGACTCACAGCCCGGCCTCTCATACCATAAGCAGCTACTCCCCGGAGAGGGGACGCCCCGTCCCGATCTTGATTAAGCTCAAAAAAGATAAAACTGAATGTGAGGCAATGAAATAGGACCGGAAGGGACCTAATTCAGTTCGCCATGGAAATTATCGAGGGAAAAGTGGTCTCTAGCTCTCTTGGCTCAATTGTCTGGCACAGAAAGACCCCGTTTTGTCCACAGCAGTCACCTGCATTATGCCCATAAGTACCCCTGGCCCAAGAACGTGGGGACCGCCATGCCAGAGAGCCATCAGTGGCCAAGCCGGGGCTTAGAGGAAGCAGGCTGTCGAAAGCACCAGCACCTCCCTGCCCATGATCCCCAGCAGCTGGCTGGTGTGCAGTCACACTGCTTCCGATCCTGGAGGAGAAATACTGGACCAGCTGAGAATCTTCATGAATTTCTCAGATCCCCTTCTAAAGCCACCCAGGTTGGGAGCTGAAGTACAAAGAAGCCCTTCCTTTTTCCAGTCCTGAATCTCCCGCCATTCCACTCCATGGGACGACCCTGAGCTTGAGCATCGCTCCTTTCAATAGGCACTATCCAGTTTTTCCACACCAACCATATTTTTATGCTTCCCCGTCCTGCCCGTCCTCCTCTGACTTGGACCATGTGCATGTTTGAAATTTCTGAGCATGGGACAGAGGGTAGGAAAAAGTGCTCTTTTGCTGCCTTCCTGTGCCAGCTGGAGAATGCGAGGGCTTGTTTTGCCTCAACATGCATCCTAAGGCATTTTATTAAAATGAGCATTTGGGCTAAATAGAAAGCAGCAATTCCAACCTTTTGCTGCCTTTCGATGTGGGGAGGCGGCAAGAGGAAAGAGGCATTTACAGCCTGCTAAGAAGAATTCCGTCCACAGCAAAATTTACAGTAGGGTAATGATGATTAGGGCCAATAAAAATGTCACGAACGGTGAGCATGTCCTCAGTATTTCCAGAACGCTTCATCATGTTTGCTGGAAAGCGTTCTTTCCCACCCTGTTTTGACTTAACACCCAGCCTGACGACAGCTTCTGTGAACATGGAAGCTTGCCTTGAAAGGGTTTGCTCCACGGCAGCCAAAATAATAGTTTTAAATAAATAAAATACTACATTAATAGTATTTAAAATAAATTCTATGGATTTTAGAGGTTTTTCTAATGGAAAATCTGTTCAGTTACACCAGGTCACCGGTGCCTAGATAGTCCTTAACCCAAAGCAGACATCGCATAGAAGGTTTAGCCTTTCTGGGATTCTCTCTCTCTCTCTCTCTCTCTGGGATATGAAGTTCATTTTGGCAATGATAGGCTTCTTCCTTCTCCCATTGATCACGTGAGAATCAGCACAGAGCAATCTTCTCAGCACTTCTTCCATGAATTCAATTCCATGATGGCATCCCCCGTGTTGGAAAACATCCGTTTTCATGATACCGCGTCAGGGGATCAAAATTCAGGCCTCTTTTCCAACGAAGTGATCCGCTCATTCACATGCATGATCAGTCTCTCCTTCCTCTGCCTCCATCCTGAATTATGTTCCTTTGCTTCATTGCATTTCCACATTCTGTTCCCTGCTTATATTTTCACATTCTGCAGCTTGCACTATTAGGAAATTTTTCTCAGAGACATCAGAACAACAACCTGGGTATGTGGGGAGAGGAAGGAGGAAGTACCGGGGAAGTTGGGTTCCAATGTCCCTGCACTGCCACACACGTTCTTAGGGTGGTCTTGGGAAAAGTGAGGGTCTCCCCCCTACATTTCTCCACCTGTAAAATGGGTATTACGATGGTTCTTCCTTTGCTCCCATGGCCTACAGCTTGGCTTGATTGCTCGAGTCCACTGGAGCACCATTCCTCAGTGCAGCGTCCACCTGTACACCACCTGGCCTGCACAGATGAATTTGTGGGAAGCTGCTAGAGGGATGGCCCTGATCCGAAGGGGGCTTGTTTCAGTGACTCAGAAAAAGAAGTACTTGTATGAGTGCAAAGGATAGCAATTTGCTGTGATCCTGTCCTTCATCAGAAGGCTAGAACCGAATATCACTAAATTGCCTGTGTGTTGCTCTTTTTGGACTCCCCAGGCCAGTCTTGGAAAGCGCTTAGTGCTAACGACAAGCGTCCCTTCGTGGAAGAGGCCGAGCGACTGCGGATCCAGCACCTGCAGGATCACCCCAACTACAAGTACCGCCCACGGAGGAAGAAGCAAGCCAAGAAGATCAAGCGGATGGAGCCAAACATCCTTCTGCACAACCTGTCCCAGCCTTGCAGCGAAAGCTTTGGGATGGGCCACCGTCCCACAGGCGGCCTTGGCCACGCAGGCCACTCGCAGCCTCCCCCGCTCAACCACTTCCGAGAACTCCGCTCGGTGGGCTCGGATATCGAGAACTATGGCCTGCCGACCCCTGAGATGTCCCCCCTGGACGTGCTGGAGCAGACCGAGCCGGCCTTTTTCCCTCCTCACATGCAAGACGACTGCAGTGTGATGCCCTTTCGGGGCTACCCCCACCACCCGCCCCCTCCCCAGATGGAGTTCTCCCCGGAAAAAAACCTGGGCCGGAACATGCCGATGGGGTACCCCCAGAACCCGCCCTCACACCTGGCCGAGGCCATGAGGACTCCCCACCCACCTGGCATGTACTACAGCCAGATATGTGCCGGAGCCACTAATGGCCTTTCGGCCCACCTGGGCCAGCTTTCCCCGCCCCCCGAATCCCACCACCTGGACGGCGTGGATCACTTGAATACCAATGAGCTTTGGACAGAAGTCGACCGCAACGAGTTCGACCAGTATTTGAACATGAGCAGGACTCGTCCAGACCCGTCGGGGTTCGCCTACCACGTTTCCGTGTCCAAAGTGACTCCTCGGGGCCTCGGCTGTGAGGAGAGCAGTTTGATATCCGCCTTGTCCGATGCCAGCAGTGCTGTGTATTACAGCACGTGCATTACAGGGTAGAGCGGCGTGTTCACCCGGGGGAGAGGTTCGGGGCCAGCCCGCCTGACAGGCCGAACCGGGTGCCGCGGTCTTTTCCTCTTCCCGGGGAGGCCTGGGAAATGCGAGGGGGGCCGGGGATCTCCATCCGAACGGCCGACATGATCCCCTGATGGCACTTCCCAGGATCCTTTGAGAGATCGTGGCGGCCAGACTGATGTAACTTTGGAGTGTATTGTGCCCTTAGAAGCTTGGCAGCAAGAAAGGCCCTGGCATGGCACGCGAATTATCTTGGCTTGAGACAGAAGCAGCTTGGTTTCCTGTCCCTCCGGATATGATGCCCGCTGACAAACTGATGGTTGCTTGTTGAGAGGTGGCACAGCTCCGCAGCCATGCTGAGCAGCCAGGGCCAATGTGCTGAAGAGCAAAGCTGTGATGGGAACTTTGAAACCGTCGCTGCGGAGAACTGGCAGGCGTTTCTGCTGTGGACTCAGGGATCTCGCCCTTGGAAATCCGTGGAATGGGGCTCGTGCGTAAGGGCTTCGTCACACATTACTGATCACTGAGTGTTCCCTTAAGATCCTCTTGTGTATAAGAAAGCAAAAAGGGTGGGGAATTAAGGGACTTGGTTGCAGAAAAGTGCACCGTGCCTGTTAGGGCAACCTGATTAGGTTTGGCCTCTTTATAAGGATCTCCTCGGCTACTGGTCCAGTTTTGCTGCCCCAGAATGTGCGGAGTGGCCTTTTGAATCCCCGCTTTGCGCATTTTCAGCGGACGGGGCAGAACAGAAGCACGTCCCACTCGCGTGATTCAGCAGAAGGGGCAAAATAGCAACATAGGTCTTTGCATGGTGGAGTTAATGCGCTCTGCCATGTGCACCAGGCTTCCAAGCTCTCCCCTTCTCTGTGAACATGACAATATTTAGATTATCTCATTAAATGCGTTGCTTTTTTTTTTTTTACTGAAATAATGCTGAACTGATGATATACTGTATTGCTATGTAGCACAAGGTAATGGACAGTCTCAAAGCAAGAGGAAGCTGCACGGATCGGGTGCCGAGAGGCAGACAAGGACTGCTTGCCGGAATCTTTAGCAGCTCTGTAGCAGAAGGTGTTCAGTCAGGGGCGGTTTCTCTATCCCTTTAGCACTATAATCTGATGGCCCATGCCTGCTAAAATCTTTCTGCTCTGGCGTGACAGTGGCGTATTTGCTCACCCCCCGGGTTCACCTGTGCAGCTGGGGAATTGGAGCGACAGCTTAGGTCTGACGCTTGGTTTTTGAGAGGGGTTTTAGCTCGGATGTCCACTGTGAGCATTTCCATTTGCCGAAGGCAAGCTAGCAACATGGTGCGTGGCCCAGTGGAAGCCCACCATCCAAGCCCTGAATCTCTGATGTGTGTGAACCCCAAAAGAGATGCATGTGATATTAAACTGTAGGTCTTTATTTTAGCAGCACCAAATTGCATCCAGGAGAGAGAAATCAGGCATGCCTGAACAGTGTCAGAATGAACTTGGATTGTAAGACCAACCAGAAAAGATGTTGTGTATCAAAGTGGAAGAGAAGTAAAGTTGTGATAATGGGAAGAGGGATTGAGATCGGTTAAACTGGTGTGAGGTGCAATGAAAGGGAAGATTTAAAGAGTCTTTAAAAGGTCTTTCAAAGGGCAATACGATTTGCGGGTGGTCATATAATTCTCCCTGGATTGCTCCTGTTTACTTGACAGTCAATTCACTGACCTCAGTTACTTCCAAGTTGTTTCAGGATTCACCCTCATCTGTTTGCATTATATTCCTCTGTAGAGAAAAGCACCCCACTGAATTCAGCAAGGTTTACTCCCTGGTAAACCTGTTTAGGAATGGATGGCTAATCCATTTCAATCCTATTAAACTGGCTCAGGCGCTTTAAAGATCAGGGTTTTTGAGATCGCGGGCAAAAGGAGCCCTCTGCATTTTCCAATCTCATGCATGCGTTGGTATGCATTTGCCACGGCGCTTGGACAAGCCAAGCTGTGGGGGACTTCAGTGTTGTGAACCACCCAGAGAGCTTCGGCGATGGGTGGTATAGAAATATAATTAATAATATATAATTAATAATGATCTAGTCCAGGCCTAGTTCCGCTGACGAGGGTGCTGTTCTTCTAAACCTCAGGCTGAGGGACTCCCCTCGGGCCGCCACCGCTTCGCTCTCGTGGCGTTTTCTTCTGGAGTTTGAACCTGGGAGTGACAGCCCCTCTTCCCAGGGCGGAGATGCCCCTTCCAGCCCTATATTTTCATCAAGGTCTGAGCTCTGCCATTCGAATGGACGTGTTCTGAATTCAATCACCATGGAAATAATCCTATGCATGAATTAGATGGGGAAAGACCAGGGAATGCTGGGAATCGTAGGCCCTTTTTCTGTCTAAACATCATTGGATTGCACCCTACAGCTCCATGAAAACTGAATGGCGTGGCCTAAAAGACGTGGAGTGATTCTCTTGCAGGAGCCATTACCGGTCTGAGAATAGTTTAGGGGTTTTCCCCCGACATATTTTTCACTGTATCCAGAGTATTATCTTTCAATTGAACAATAGGTCTATATTTTTACTTAGCTTTTTTATATCTATCTGTTTGTCTATCTATAAATAATATTTAATTTGTTCAGGCATTTTATACTATTGCCTCCCTTTTTCTTCTTTTTTATAATAAATGAAAGGATATCCGTGCTGTAGGAAGCATTTATGTAGCAAGACGGATTAAAACAAAGAACAGGCAGGAGAGAGGTGTAAAATCTTTCAGAAGAACCTTTTTGGATCTGGGCTTAAGGAAAGTGGTGTGAGCATTTTTGCTGCTGCAAAGCCGCACGCATTCAAGGACGCCCATCCAGCAGGATGTTCTAACCAAGTCACCCGTTGAATCCAATGGCAGTGCCATAAGAGTGCAGGAAAACATCCTTCTGAATTGGGCCCCAAACTGCATTGCTCACTAGTTAATTATTAAAACATCTTTTCCTAATTCCTTGACTCTCATGCGCTTGTTTATGTGAACACATGTTTCTCCCCCAAATAAATGTTGCCCCCAACTGTTTCCAGATTTTTCTGGCAGTGGATTCTTGTGTGGACTTTGCTTGGTTTCAAGGAAACACCCTCCCACTAAGCATTGGGTGGGTGGGTGGGTGAGTGGGGGGCACATACCCAAGAGAAAGACAGAAAAGAGCTGGTTTGATCGTAGCTCAGTTACCAACACACGCAAATCCATGCCTATTTTGCAGCGATGTAAGTTGTTGAAGCTTTCGGTTGGACACCGCATCTGTTCCCAGATTTGAAAAACTCACCCTCTAATAAAACACCGTGATTATCCTTCTCACAACATGTCTGTGTGTGGGTTTTTTCCTTTGTTAGCACAACTGCGTACAAACTGTGCAAAGTTCAAATCATGCAAGCTTTTGTCTTGCTCCTACAAAGGGGTTGTCCGTCGCTTGGAGGCTTACAGAAATTAGAAATGATATTAAAGCCCACTTAGATCAATTGATTCATAATAAAAATATGTACATGTGTTCCAGTGCTTTGTTTACAGCCTGACACATAACTTGATGACGTCAAACGGTTTCCCTCCTCTCCCTGCTACAGCATATCCTCAACCCTCAACCCTCAACCCCCCCCCCCCCCGTTTGCAAGCCGGGCTTAAGATTGTATTTTGCTATGTCGCTTCAGCAGGGAAAGATGTACATCCCTTTCCATGTGTTTTCAACACATAATTTTTTGGCATTGAAAGTTTGAGAGTATTTTTACACCAAGAATGCTTTTTAGTTTTTGGTGAATCGCCATTATTTATTGTTAATGCAGCAAAAGAAGAAGAGGAGAAGACTCTTCATAAATCTGATGCACAGATGAAGTTCTTTCGTCCACTTTGTAAATGGAGAACATTTAAAATCCTCATCCCCCAAGTTTTTGGTGTCAGTTAGGAAAACCCTTTGGGGAAATGGCAATTAAATTTTAATCAATGAAAAATATTTCCAAACAAATGTAAACTTAGTTTAACTTGGGCTAAGTTTAAGATGTCCCCCAGGACAGAATTCTGTTGCCTGATGGGCATCTTTGCTCTTTTCTTTGGCACTTCAAATGAGCAAAACCGTTTTCTGTTTGCACTTCATTAATGTCCATTAAGAACCTTATGAGCTATTTCTAATCTTCCTTTCTTTTCTCTCTCACCCTTTTCCTGCATTTTTGTACACAGAATGCTACGATATTTTGCCTCCATTCCAAAACAGCCTGGTAAAGTAAAATCTGTTCCATCTTCCTTGGTTTGTTTCTTTTGTTCTTGGCCAGGGGATCACCCTAAACTTTTCCAATCCTTCCTTTTTAGTATTTTAACCTCATCCAATTAATCAGGCTTCATGTTGGTAAAAATGCGTGTGAATGTGTCTAGAATATCCAAAGGAAAATTTTGATCCATTGCAGGAAAATACTAATCACATCTGTTCGCTGACAGTGATTTAAAACACATTTGCGTGTTATATTTATTTATTTCAGTCAAGGAAGGTTTTTTATTTTATAATGCATCTTTCTCATCGTCGGTGCTGGCAAAAAGCTTGATTGAGAGAAGAAGGGCATTTCACCAATCAGGATAATTTTTAAGGATCTTTTTAAAAATGAAATACTTGTTTAAAGGGTTTCACTTAAAAAAAAAAAACCAAAAACAAGTAACACACACTTTCCTTTTAAAAAAATATTGATTTGGATGGGCTTAAACCAAGAGCAACGACCTTTCCTTTGTTTCCATATACGTCCCATTAAGGTTGCAAGAAGAAATAACAAAGGGAAAAGTGACCTCACCTGCTAAACACAGGAGGTCTGGCTTTCTGCCAAAATTGGGGCATCCAAATTGTGCCAGAACGGCTGGATTTGACTTCTCTCCCCCCCCCCCCGCCCCGCAAAGAAATGGAGACACATCCTGGATCTCTCCCTGCAAATGGCCATGAAAGGAAATGGCCTTATAAAGGCCGAACGACATTATAGTCCCCAGAAACAAATCGGGAAGGAAGGGGATGGATGGGGGCGGAGGGCAGTCCTGGACTTATTTTGCAGGTTATTGCTATGCGATCACTTCCTGAAATATAAAAGAAGCGAAAAAGCACCCACACGCATAAGGCAACCTCTCCCCCCTTTCCAGCCACCCACAGGAAAAGCACCCGGCCAGCTCCGAGCACAGAGGAAGCGCTGCAAGTCATTTTCGGCAACTGGGGCTCCCCAAGCCCGTTACTCCGACAGTTCTTGGACGGCGAGAGGCGCCTTGGCTCCCCGGCTTGCCGGGAAGCCCCGCCCCCGCCAGAAGCCCCGCCCCCCGCCCCAGAGGCATGGCGGAGCATGCCTGCCTCTCTTCGCCACGGCTGGGGCCTTGCTCACACATGTCAGGCTGCCAGCTTCCCTCGAGGGAAAGGAAGTTTGATTGCTGGCACCTCTCCATTTGCATATAATTACATCTAGAAACCAAGAGCGGGACGTCCATTCTGAACGGCCTAATGGACTTCTTGGCAGCTCTTCCCATCCCCGTTCTTTCCTCCCCCCACACTCCCCCCTCGGACCCACAGCTGCACAAAGGGCTGCTTGATCCTGCCTCCGCTTGCACGTATCGGTGGGCACCGGTTCCAGGGAACCTGCTCGGGGAGACGCGGGGGGAGCCCACTGGCTTTGGTCTGAACGACATGGAGCCGTCCATCACTGCACCTGTCGCGCAGCTTGTCCTCCGAGCCTTGTGGGTTGAAGGCAGAGGCAGCGCTGGCTTCACAGGTGTGCTGATGTTGGCTGCCGGGCCCCTCCGAAACCCCTCCCCTGACTGAGCGCAGTGGCAACCCTCCCAGAATCAGGGCGGGGGGATTCCAGTGGCAGGGGATTTTTTCCCCCTGCAGCAGTCAGTATTTTTGGGATGGCTGAGTCCCGAACGGGCAATCGAGATCCCTCGGCTCGACAGGCGAACTGCTCCTGGTGGTGAGGAACTCCTGGAAACGCTGCCTGCATTTTTGGATTCCCGTTGGCCTTGGGAGGGTCGCGCTGCCCCCCTGCCCTTGCGCATCGACATTGTCTTCACCAAGACGATTCTGGCGTTTGGCGCAAGCGCTGCTTGGCCCACGGCTCCCGGGTTTTGAAGGGGACTAGATCCATTCAAGAAGTCTGTCCGTGGCTACAGACAGGTTGCGGTGGGCAGCTTGATGGCAATGTCGGCGCCGTGCATGGCTGCTGTGGACGGCAGGCGCATGTCCTGCGGGGATCTCTAGCAAAGGCACCGAAACGAAAATGGCAGCGCTCCCACTGCCCCTGCACAGCCCCGTGTGCAACGCTATTTGCCGTTCCTGCTGCAACCTCCAAAAGAGAGCTGGGAAAGGAAGAGAAAAGGGCAACCCGAATGGTCAGGGGCCGGAGCAACTTTCCTAAGAGGCGAGGCCACAATGCCTGGGATTGTGGCTGCTGCTGTGTCAGACCAAAGCCGGCCACAGTTGCTACGCCGTCCTCGAGTTATCTCCGACTTACGACTTACGTAACCCTATGAATGTGAGCCTTCCGAAATGCGCTGTCCAGGAGAGCCAGCTGAGCTCTTGTCGACTCAAGGCTGGGGTTTCCTCGCTGGAGTCCGTCCATCTCATCTTCGGTCTTCTTCTCCATCTGCCTTCAACTGTCCCGGTCATGCTTGTCTTCTCCAGGCAGTCCTGCCTTCGCATGAGGCATCCAACTGTTATGCTTCGAGAAGATGCCACGCTCGAGATGCACCGGATCTGCCTGGCACGGAGAGAGCGAGGAAGGAGACCTTTTCTCCCACTCCGCTAATAGTAGGGCCCAGCAGCGGTCCTGCGCCAACCAGCGGAAGATGCTGGAGACGTCCAAGACGTCTTCACTCGGCACTTAGCTCGACTATGGAGTTGGTGACCACGTGGTGTAGTGATGCTCACTGATCTGGACGGCCTCTGAAGGGACCTGGGCAAATGCCTGGTGGACAAGTACAGCAACGAGCTGCAAGCCCAGAGGGCTGCACGTCCTGCTCGTGGGCCGGACACCTGGCCGGCCGCTGTGCAAACTGAACACAGGGCCGTCCTGACACGCGGAGAGCAGTGCTCCGGGTTCAGAGGCAGAATGTGGCTGCTGGGGAGCAGCAACCAGCTTGCAGGTTTCCCATAGACCTCCGATGGGCCATGGTGGGAAACAGGATGCTGGGACGGACAGACCTTTGCTCCGCTCTAGCAGGACTCTTCTGATGTTCCCTGCACCACTGTGGAGCTCTGGCTCCCACCCCTGACTGGCTGCCAACAAGAGCCACCTCTCTCTCCTTCCTTTCCCTCTCTCGGCTCAGACTAGCAAACGCTCCATCTGATGCTGCTCCATGTGCAGGAATGGCATTTGATCTATAAATGACACTCGTAAAAAGTCTCTGCCTTGGCCCTCCCCAGAGTGCTCCTTCTGTATTTATCTTTCTAGGGGATTTATGCCCCCAACCTCTCGATAAAAAAGTTCCCGGGGGGACTTAAGACAATACACAGCAAAGCAGTCCTCGCCCTCAGGCTTGTGAGCTCCACTGAAGACATAACACAGGGCATGCAGGGCGGAGAGGAAGGATTTATAGAATTCCAACCGGTCTGGGGGTCTCTGTGAAGAGTCGGGCATGGGGGTGGTTTGCTGTCCCAACCTGGCGAAACTCGAGTGCGAGTTGAGAAGTCCACGGCCGCAGGTCCATCTTCCTCAGCTTCGTCTTCCTCACCTTCCAGGATCGTGAAGCCAAAGGCCCCTGGAATGGTTGCCAGCGTCTCTCCAGAAAATATACAGAATCCTTCCCGTGACCAAGTAACATTCCAAAGCTGCGAGAGGTTTTACTGACTTTGACATTGATTTGTGAGCACGCTTGCTCATTCTTCCAGGAATTGCTCTGTAATCCTCCAATAAAACGTGTGGGGAGCATGGTCTGCATCTGATGAAGTGGGCAGGCCCCCCCACAAGGCTTGTGCCAGAACAAATTTGTTAGTCTTTAAGGTGCCACAACACTTCTTTGCTATTGCATGACAGTTTAAGGCTTAAGCCTACAAAACGTTGTGATGCAATGGACTAAGAGCAGAGTGCAGGGGCGCAAGAACCACCGTCGTGCAGAAAATGATCCAGGGGCTGGAGCATTTCCCCTACACGGAAGGGTACAACAGCTGGGACTGCTTAGCTTAGGAAAAGGGGAGTCGTCATAAAGGTGTTCTGAAGATGGAGAAAGCGGAGAGGGAGGCATCGCTCTCCCTCTCCCTTTATGCCAGAACCTGGGACCCTCCCATGAAGCTGACAAAAGGAGGTCCTCCTCCACACAGTGCAGTTAAACTCTGGGATCCATCTGCAGGAGACCAG